ATGGGCGATGATAAAGAGGAAGAGCAAATAGCGGATGATGATGATGATGATGTGATGGAAGAAAGGTCACTTTTGATTGATCATCCACCGTCTTTGCCCCCTGCTTCACAACCTCAGGCTCAACCCGTTCTTGAAGAGCCTAAAGGCCCTCAGTCGCGGCTAGTTATTTACAAGCTCGCTCTTGTAAACTTCAAGAGCTATGCTGGTCGACAAGAGATAGGCCCCTTTCACAAGGTAGGTAACCTTTGATCGTTGAAATTTCTCTTACTTTTCTAACATCACCTAGTCTTTTTCTTCAATCGTCGGAGCCAATGGATCAGGGAAATCCAATACTATTGATGCGCTTCTCTTTGTCTTCGGATATCGTGCCTCAAAGATGCGTCAAGGCAAATTGTCCGAATTAATTCACAACTCCGCTCGCTACCCAGATCTTAAGCAATGCTCCGTCGAGGTGCATTTCCGTGAGATAATTGACCTAGTCAGTTCCCACTTACTGCGGAATGTATTGAGTCTGACGACGTTTCAGCCTGGCCCTGATGCTTTCGACATCGTTCCCGGTTCCAATCTCGTCGTAGGACGTCATGCATACAAGGATAATACTAGTACCTACACCGTCAATGGACGCAATAGCACCTATAAGGAAGTTCAAAGCCTCTTGAAGGGACGAGGAATCGATTTAGATCACAAACGATTTTTGATTTTACAAGTTTGTGCTGAACCCGAATTGTACAACTGTTTGCTCATGTTACTGTTGCAGGGAGAAGTTGAGTCCATCGCTCAGATGAAATCCAAAGGTGGGGAGCACGACGAAGGATTGCTTGAGTATTTGGAAGATATCATTGGTACCTCCAAGTACAAAGAGCCCATTGAAGCTGCTTTTGTAGAACTCGAAAATCTACAAGAGAGTCGTCAAGAGAAGTTAAATCGATTACGCCTTGTTGAGAAGGAAAAGAATGCACTGGAAGACAAGAAGAAAGAGGCCGAAGAATATTTGAGGCTACAGAATGAGCTGGTCCGAGCGCAGTCCAAACTTTACCAGTGGTACATTTGGCAGACCCTTAACAGCGAAAACAAAATTCGTGAACAAATGGTTATCTGCTCATTTTTTTCGAATGAAATGTTACTCAAGGTTTTCTGTCTATAGGAGGAAGCCGCAAACGAGCTTGAGGAAGAGAAAGCGAAGAACAAGGACGACATCGAGCATTTGCAAGCACTTCAGGCCGACTATAAAGCATTTGAAAAGGGTTACAAAGTATGAGTGCACCAAACTATCACTTCCTCTTCCGCTAATTTCCCTTACAGGACATTCAAAAACTGGTTGCGGAAGCTGTTCAGTCTTTGTCTGAACATGAAAAACAAGAGATAGGGCTGTCCGAGAAGAGAAAGCATGCTGCGGGCAAGGCTAAGAAATTGAAGAAAAGTGTGGGTGACGTACGTAAACGTCCTTGGCTATTATAGAAGACCTGTTTTGATCATGGATCGAAGGCTCGAAGTGCTCTCAAATCTGCACAGCACACAATCGAAGACAGTGAAGAGAAGCTTGAGAAGGAGAAGAAGAATCTGGAGAAGTACGAAGAGTCTCTGGTTACAGAGGAGAAAGTTCTGGAGGAAATTCAAGACAGTCTTCGAGGTATATCCTCTTACAGTCTTAAGAATGTGCGCATATAGACTGAATGGGTTTGGAATGGGTTTGCAGATAAAACTCAGAAGTTCTACGACCAGAAAGAGGCGTTACAGAAAGACCTTCAGCCTTGGACTACCAAAATCAACACCAAGCAAACGGAAATCGATGTCGCGCGTGGTGAACGTGATGCATTGGTCAGAAAGGTTGAATCTATACAGACAGCTTTGCAAGAGGCTGAAGAACACCTGGAAAGGGTGAGATCTGATCAGGAGGAAAAGGTGAAGTTGCTCGCAGAAGCGAAGAGTGAAAAAGCAGAACTCAATAACAAGAAAGAGGCATCGATTCAAAGATTGAGCGTGCGTAAACTATTTTCCAGCTGGCCCATGGACTGATGATCCGTCGAACGCTCACAGAAAGCGCAAGAATCTGAACAAGCCTGGCGCACCAAGGCATCCTCATCCCACCAGCGAGTGTTAGAAGCGAAATCGTCTCAGGCTGAGACTCGATCTCAAGGCAAAGTACTCGAAAGCCTCACTCGTATGCAAGATAATGGTCGAATCACTGGCTTTCATGTATGTTCGGGCCTGTCTACTCAATTGTCGGCTGAACAATCTCACAGGGTCGGTTGGGAAGCCTTGGAACTATCCCAGAAAAATACGATGTTGCTATTACTACTGCCTGCCCAAGCCTGAACCACATGGTTGTCGACACTGTGAAACAGGGCCAGGCATGTCTTGAGTACCTGCGTTCAAACAATATCGGGCGCGCGACCTTCATGGTTCTCGAAAAGATCAGTTACAATCCATCGGTGCTTTCACCTCCCAAAACTCCGGAGAATGTCCCGAGACTTTTTGACTTGATTACGCCTAAAGACTCAAAATTTGCGGAGGTGTTCTACAAAGCTGTCGGTGATACTCTGGTTGCGAAAGACATGGATCAGGCCAATCGTATAGCTTTTGGAGAGAAGCGAACCAAGGTTGTCACCCTAGCAGGGCAAGTCATCGAGACCTCCGGCGCTATGTCTGGAGGTGGGGGAGCTCCTGCGAAGGGGGGAATGAGCCCAAAACAGGCCAAAGATTCCGTCAGCCCTCGGCAATTGCAAGAACTCGAGCAAGAACGGGAACAAACTCAGGCAAAACTCGAGGAAGCAACCGCCGCTGTGCGTAGTGCAGAGGCGGAACTAGAACTGCTGAATCGTTCGGGACCGGAGATTGACCTTCGGTATGAAAAATTGGGTCTTGATATCCAGCAAGGGAAGTCTCGAATCGAGGAGGCAGAGAAGCGTCTCAAGAATATGAAGTAGGACGAGAGTTGTAGCTGCAACGTGTTTAACACTAACACATACTCTCATTACAGGACACGCTCGACGCCAGATAAAAATGACGTAACTCGAATCAAAGTCCTTGAAGATAACCTTGCTCGGTTCGAGATCGACATTGGGGACTTGAAGGGAAAAGCAAGTACGATTGAGGCGGCTCTTCAAGAAGTCGAGGACAAGATTATGAAAATTGGAGGATCGAAACTCATGGCCCAGAAATCCAAGGTTGAAGGTCTCAGGAATCACATCAACCTCACGAACGACGCCATCACTAACGCTGAAGTGACCAAAGCCAAAGCGGAAAAGGATGTTGAGAAACATCAAGATACCGTTGAAAACGATGTCGCTGCGCTTGAACAACTGGAAACAGAGCTAGCAGAGCTTGACTGCCAGTTGGGAGAATTGCAAGGTTTCGTGAAAACCGTAAAGGCAAAGGTAGAAGCAGCCGAGGCAGCTGAAGAAAGTAAGAGAGAAGCTTTAGTCGAACGAAAAGCTCAGCTCGAAGAAAAGACCGAGGCGGTAGAAGCATTCCGTCAGACGGAGGTCGGTTCTTGATGGACGAGCTCATCGTATGCTATCTGACGTTCACCTGTAGATCAAACTTCAAAAGGCGATCGATGGTCATCAAAAAGATATTGATCGTATTTCTTCTCAAGTAGAACGCTTCCGAGAGCTGCATGATGCGTTGATATTGGAAGATGTTGAGTGAGTTGTCCTTGTCCGTCAAAATCACGTTGATGCTTATGTCTACTATAGTGATGAAGAAGAAGAAGGTGAGGGAGAGGATGAAGGAGAGGATGAAGAAGCATTGAAACATCAAGATGAAAGTATCGCTCGGAGAAACAAAACTGAAGGCGTCACTATCAAAGCCGAAACTCCCCAAGAAGAGGAGGTCTTGAATAAACTTCACGAGTACAAGACCTCGGAACTCCAGAAGTTCAAAGAGCGAGACATGAAGGTTGATGTGCAGGCTTTGGAAGGTGTGAAACTAATGCTCTCGTTTTCATTGAGACTGACACTCCTTTTTGTAGATCAAATCAAGCGAGCGAAACCCAATCTGAATGTTCTCGAAGAGTACAAGCGTCGTGAGGCGGAGTTCCTTAGTCGACACGATGACCTCGAGAAAGTTGTAGCTCTACGCGATACTCAAAAGAAGAAATATGAGGATCTTCGGAAACAGCGTCTGGAGGAATTCATGGCTGGGTTCAGTATTATATCTCTCAAGCTGAAGGAAATGTATCAGGCAAGATGCTTCATTGATGCTTTACAAATACGGAAACTGAGAACGTTAGCTTACAGATGATTACACAAGGCGGAAACGCCGAACTCGAATTGGTTGACAGTATGGACCCTTTCGCGGAAGGAATCATTTTCAGTGTCATGCCACCAAAGAAGAGCTGGAAGAACATCTCAAATCTGTCAGGTGGTGAAAAGGTGAGATTCTAATTAAGAGGTTGTGGACAATGGTGTATTGAGTGCCATAACTCAGACTTTGAGCTCTCTTGCGCTCGTCTTCGCTTTGCATGTCTTCAAGGCAAGTCTTCCCCTTCACAGTACAAGTTGAATTCTAACCATCTCTGCTCAGCCTACGCCTCTGTACTTCATGGATGAGATCGACGCAGCTCTTGACTTCAGAAACGTATCCATCATTGCGAACTACATCAAAGATAGGACGAAAAACGCCCAGTTTATCATTATCTCTCTTCGGTTTGTTATGTTTTCGAGAGCTCGGATCTCTGTTACTAACTTGCAGCTTCTAGAAATGACATGTTCGAACTAAGCCATCGTCTTATTGGAATCTACAAGACCGCAAACGCCACGCAGAGTATTTCAATCGACAACCATGCTTTGACTGCTCGGCCTGCGAACTCTGCTTCAATCAATGCATCTACAAACTCCAGGCCGTCGAAAGACAGTCCCTTGAAGTCAAGATAGAAGTGGATTTGGAGGACACAATATATATAATTGTATAATTTTATCTGTACATTTTTTGCACACTTGGATTACATGTACATGGTTCAGTATTCTGATGAATTTCACTCACAATCAAGAAATCACGCTTCCTTAGCTCAGTCGGTAGAGCGCGAGTCTCATAGAAATTGAGGGACATTGAGGGTCTCATAATCTCGAGGTCGCAAGTTCGAGCCTTGCAGGGAGCAATCGTTATGTCTTTTTGACAATCCTTTGGCGAAAAAATCAAAGTTCAATTACCCACTGTATCAAGCCAGAAGTACTACCAATGCCCTAAACTCGTGTATACAAATAGAACATCAAACGGAGTCCAACGCAATTCCTGAGAACGAACTATGTACTCCTGAAAGCTCAATTGTGCAAACAGAAGCCATCACTGTCTGTGATATAGTCGACGCTTCCATCGGGCTGAGTCTGGCCACCTTTGTTGTCGGCGTCGGACGCATCGTGGCATAGCGAGAACAAGGCACAGGTCAACTGGGGAGATCCATTCTAATTTTTTTGGCGAGCGTTAGTCTTCAAGTATGACAAATGATCATCGTGATTGGAGATACAAACCTTGCCGTTGACGTCGTGATAGGCTGCAGACAAATGATGAATCTCCCATCTCATCTGATGAGGCGAATAACCACTTACTGTTTATGAAGGTGCATCCTTCGACGTTAAGACACATAGTCTCGCAATCTACGAAAAAAAAGGGTATTTGAGGGCGAACAGTGGCATCGCATCATGATACTAACCCTGAATAGTGTCGACAAGTCCGTAGGTCAAATAGTCGTCAGCCTGGGTAGCACCGCTAAGGTTACTGAAGGTTGGCACCCATCCGTTTTTCGGGGGAGGCTTGGGAATCGGGCAATGAAGGCAGAAAGGGAGAAGGTCAAGGATATCACAGATCAGCTAAACGGAATTTTATTCAATGTGAGCGGTCATTAATGCTACTAGTACTAGTGAATAGAAACTTACAGTGTCCAAGAGCCACGGAAGTACCCAACCAATGACAGCTCCGGGGTCCTGGCCATAGTACCAGCCCGGGTAGCTCCCCACCTCCCAAGGAGGAATCGGAGCACCCTTAAATTGGTTTAGCACTCGAATGGCATGCATGGTTCGCAAAAAGAAAAAACGCACATAATGGTTGGACTGGCTGAGGCTGTTACTCAAGGAGAGCTGGAGCGTAGCATTTGTGAATGGAGAGGCAGAGAGGGCGGCCGCAGAGGAAGAAGGAGCGCTGGCAGCAGCCGAGGCAGCACTGGCAGCAGTGTCGGAGTCTGCAAGAACGACGCTAAAGAGTGCAGCAGTGAGAACGGCGAAGAAGCGCATGATTTTCAATGGTAAGCTCGAAGGATGTAAGAAGCTGGAGGGCCCTGCATCGAATATTCTCGCCTTTATACCATGAGCAGGTCCAAGCAAAATACCTAATATCCGCTTGAAAAAAAAAACCGACCTTCCGACGTAAGGTACCTTTACTTCCTGTTACACTTCGTGTTGATACATACAATCCTAGTTCCAGTTCGACAGGCCAGAACACGCCTTAGCTCATGGTACGACGGACAGGATTAAAATTAGATTCGAAGCAAGCATACTACCCGACCCCTGTGTTCCTTGCCACATCTTTCGGGCGTTCCATTCGACAATTTCAGGATGTGACTTTGAAATGAGCAAGCATATCAGAAAGATCATTCACGTCAAGAACGTACAGGTTTCAACTTGAAAGAAGGATAAGTAGACATAAGATGAAGACTGGGCAATGTTGGCCGTTAGCCGTGGGTTATAGAGTGGATAAAAAGTAGTATATGGTATATGTACCTTTGCTCGGCGAAGAAGGTGGATTCATCTAATTGGCTTCTTTTTTTTTTGTGTTATCCGTAATGATTGCTGGACAAGAACCATCGTCCAATAGGAAGTGGCTTCAAAAAACAGTCGAAATGTACGACACTACGACTAGACGCGAAGAGAGTCGCGAACATAGCCAGAGCTCCAACTTTTCGGGATTTACGGGTTCGCGTAGATGTTTATGTACATAAAAAAAACACGCAGCTTGCGACTTTTCATTGGACAATTTTCTGTCATTAACTCTGTCAACCATATTTGAAGTTTAGATAAACTCAATTCTTCAAGATATGAGAGAGCAGACATACACAACCTCATACGTCCTCACACGTCCCGAACCAACAACCGAGAACTTTCCACGAAGGTGAACATCTGACATTGACATGATATGATGAAGTGTTTGTCTGTGCATAGAATGTAATCGGTCAGATAAGTCTGGGTGCCTTTCGAATAGACTCAACTGAAATGATACTCAGAAACCGGCTGAACAGGATGTCGAACAACGCTCGCCGTCTTCGCGGAATCGGGGGTTAGACTTGAGTAAATGACGCGTGAACATTTCTAGTGTCGTGGCCGGAAGAAAAGATGTTAGAGGCACGCTGGAGGTACGGTTCCTTGAGGCTGCAACAGCATCGATGGATGGCCGTGTTCAACCAACCCGGCAGTTATAATTTTCAGGATGGGCCAAAGATCATGCGAATTATCGATAGATGTGTCCAAACGTTGTTCCTTGTACTCCAGTAGGAATCGATAATTACTCGCTATACTTACATACCCACTATACCCCGAGAAATATCAACGCCGTCCCGTCTTCGATAGCTAGTGTCAATTCATATCAATCTTCGTCGGAGCCTGAGCCTGAACCCGAGGCTGCTTCTCCATCATCATCTACCGCACGAGATCATGAACGGGGTTTTATTCTGTTTATGAGCAAGGACCGCTTACCACTGGCTATATCATCCTGCGACACTGTCATGATGTGCGCTTGTGTCTTTCTAAATAACTTTCTCGTCTCCTCATCAGTCGGCGGAACGAAAGATTCCGCTAACTCTCCATTTTTATCGCGTATCTTGGTGTCTGCCCCGGCCTCCAAGAGGGATTCAACCATATACGAGCGCATACCGTCATCTTCCAATTGACACGCCAGATGAAGAGGAGTGGCACGATTGATACGGTTGATAGGGTCGACATCGCAAGCTTCATGAGAGAGAATATGCTCCAAAACGTCTGCCGAACCATTCTGTACGCTGCGATATGTCAGAACGGCAGATATGCTTCGAAATGAAGGAGCTAACGCGATATGTAAAGCTGGTTGATCCCCTTTTATCACAATCACTGGGCAGAGTGAAGATATTCATACCTGTATTACCCACTCTACATTATATCAGAGCGAATCAAAAGTAGAGAAAGAGACGCACACACCCATCCTGATGATTTATATCAAACTTTCCAGCTTCAAAAACTTCCAATAACAACTCCTCATTATCTTCTCTAGCTGCGGCCAGTAATCGCTGATCTTGTAAGAGGAATTAGAACTCGTAGCTGAAAGAATCCACTAGCGGTAACATACGCACTGTTGTTGGCTCCTTCGTCTTCAGACATGGTGTATTAAGAGTCGAAAGTTATAGAGAGCAACAACTTGAATAAGATGGAAACGTAGGAAAAGAAAAGGTGCTGATCAACTTTTTGATTACACCGCACAGCATGTTTTCCAACCACCATCTTCGAATTCATGTCCCTCACGGATGTGAGCATGTCCATCGCTCGAAAGTATCTCGAGACTGACGCTTGTACAGAGTGTCAATGATCACTTCATTGTTGATCCAGATGATAGTGAGGCCAACGGTGACGAGTTCGAGATTATCGCTGAAGGCCTTGCTTCGACTGTATCAAAGACCTGGGCATCTGTAGATGATGGCGAGCCTCAGCTTGTTGTCGTAAAGACGTCTACGACAGTCAAGAAATGGGCTAAAGAGCCACACGATATCATCAAGGAATGCAGAGTTCTGAAAAGACTTTCTCATCCTAATGTACGAAACATTCAACTGCTCTTCAACAGTTATTGACATCTCGAATTCAAGATCATCTCGATAATTGACTCCTTTTTGGATCGATCCCAGAATACTATGAACATATGGATGCCCTACATTCCGTACTCTCTCTCTAGTCTTCTGGATTCCGCGCGTTTTGTACCGCGAGTCAAAGATACTTCAACTCAAGTCGAAGCCCATCCTTCAAGCTTTCTTCATCTCACCCGTTCACTCATGATACAAATCATCGACGCTGTAACCTATTTACACGCGCAAGATATCGCTCATCGCGATCTCAAGCCAGCAAATGTTCTACTGACATCCAGTGGACGCGTAACGCTCATTGACTTTGGAATAGCTTGGGATGGGTCAAAGGATAACGTCGATGGTGATTTGTGGCCAGAGGGGAAAGACAGCAAGTATTTTGAGGTGTCCACTGGGTCCGTCTATCTCTATCTGTTCCGATCAAAGCCTGAGCCCGAATTCCGTAGTCCTTATCGTGCACCAGAGCTCCTTTTCGGAACACGCTCGTATGATGCGTGTGCAATCGACTTATGGAGCCTTGGTGCAATGTTCGCCGAGTTTTTTACATCGCTTGTCCCTGTGGCGTCTTCACCGACGACCGATGATTTTATCAGCCCTTCGTTCTTAACACCACTCTCTTCCTCCAATTCAAATTCCTCAGCATTGAATCCTCTAACCCGTTATACGCGTTCATCTCTTTTCGATGCCTCTCGTGGCGAAATCGGTTTGGCTTGGAGCATTTTCAAGATCCTCGGCACACCTCGAGAACCTGCGAACGAACAGGAAGAAGCGAAGAGCTGGGCATGGGCAGGTTTTAAAAACCTCCCCGACGCCCAGAAGGTTGAATTCAATAGAGTAGATGGGGTGGCGTTGGACGAGCAAATTTTACCAAATTTACCTACAACAGGAGCTGATTACCCCGATGACGCCGACGCTGTGATGGATTTAATTCGCAACCTTCTTCGATATCCACCTGAACGGAGATTAAAGGCGAAAGATATCCAACAACATCCTTTTTTCTCATCTGGTGAGTGGCTGGTTCCGGAAGACTTAACTTTGGATGTGAATTCAGGAAAGGCATCGAGCGGCGTTGAGGTGAATGCAGCCCGTGGGACGTTAGGTGATTTGCTGGTACAGACATTAGGGTTTGCCTAGATACCTACGTGGTGTGTTCAATAAAGGATAACAAATGACAATCCGTTACCAAGTTCAGTGATGTTTGAACTTATTTGTACTACGCTCTTGTTCTTTTGCTGTCAACGATGCGTACTAACTTTCTATTGAAACTGACGCCCACAGACAACCAC